GGTAAGGGCACAAAGGCATGGCTGATGTATGGATAAACAAATTCCTTCCTTGAAATACACAGGAAAAAATATTACTCATCAGTCATCACTATTAGAATGAAAAACAACTCACTAGCAAGACGACTAATAAATTAGACTTATATTTGGCAGAAGCCACGCTCTTATCGACATGCATACTTCATTATTAACACAGTTATATCGTGACAAAATATTTGATTGTTTGAATCACGTACAAAGATCAATATAAATCATTTAATTGGGCTTGTTGTGACATTTTTAACTACTTTAATTACTATGATCACTTGTAAACTATTTTTTACAGGCGATATCGTCCATTTTCACAGATAGGTAGTGATTATATTCTCCGTTCCCAATACTCGTTTAAGATACAAAGTGATTATGTGATTTACAGGAGAACGAGTAACGTGATTAGAGGATGCCAGAATTAGTGCGAAGAAAGAAGAGCATCGGCAAAAAATTGGCAATTGGTTCAGTTCACACGTGTGGACTAATAATTTGTATATACGTAATATGTATATATACTTTGTATATAGCTTCTTTGTATATACGAGAGAGAAAATTGCGAATTTTGAACCTTCGGCTAGAAACAGGATTCATGCAACGTCTAAAGGCGACTATCTTCCAAAATATACAGTTCACAACGACAGATACATGTTTATTTGAAGTATTCAATCAAATAATGCTAACTGAAAAATAATGAAGAGCAATCTTACCTTGACCATGAGTGAAGAAGTTCGTTCGGATGTGTTATAATACTGAGAGACGTTGTGGATGAGGCGCACCGTCTGTAGCAGGCTTAAGACGCAATCCTTCATGCGCACCTGCAAACACATTTACACGCATTATCGTACCCAGCTTCTTAGTATATATTAAGTGTTTTCAAATTATTGTCGAATGTTACTGTTAATGTTACTGTTAATGTTACTGTTAATGTTACTTCAAATGAATCATTTGTAAACTGATTTTTACCAATTGTGTATTGGGCGCAAAAAATTTCAAGAAACTAATTGAGGTATTTAGATAAAATATAGTATTAACAGAACAATGCGAAGTAATTATTTGAGCTAATAAATAATCCAGTTTACATCTTTATTTTGATTTAATTTTTCGGTTGAATTGCATCTTAAGTATTAAGCCAAATTTTGTTTGAATAGCTATTTTAATGACTTGTGTTTTTTTCCAGGAAAATCCCTTTGACTTAAATCAATTGAGAAACAAATAACAAGTTAAACCCCAAACTGGTTCTTAGTTTTGAAGAATCGAATTTTTCAGATGGTACGCATAAGCCGCGACTATAAACAGAGCCAGGCAACACAGCCTTAATAGAGCAAAAAACATCTCTTAAAACATCTAAGAGAGCGGGCCATTGTCAGCAGAAACCTCACCGGGTCGTGCAGGTAGAGCGAGTGGCAGCATTTCTCCATGCACTGGATGTACTTGGCGTTGTCGCGCGCCTCGTTGTAGCAGTAGGTGATCTTGCGGTCGGTGTCCCTCCAGATGCGCAGCACCTTGGCGCGCGCCACGGCCAGGCACAGCAGCGTGCAGCGCACCTCGGGCGCGCGCAGCTGCGCCACCAGTTGCGAGAACTGCGCGCCGCGCCGCTTCCAGTACTCCAGCTCGTCCTGCGGCCCGCTCGCGTCGCATTCTCGCCGCAGCTGCTCGCTCTCCATCAGCACCTGCAGCGACACGCGCTCGCTTTTCGCTCGTTTTGCTTTGGATCGTGTTGGGATTTGCTTTGGATCGTGTTGGGTTGGGTTTTGGATCTCAGGTTACATGTAAGGTTACATGTAAGGTTACATGTCCGGTTACATGTCCGGTTACATGTCCGGTAACGTGACAGATTACGAGTCAGATTACGTGTCAGGTAGCGGATCAGATGACGGGTCAGATTAGGCTTCATATGTTAAGTTACTTTGGGCGTAACAGTGTTAAATCAAGTTATTTTACACTGCACAGGTTTTGGCGTCTCTCTTTAAGTTGCGTCATACATCGTCTTGTACCAAAATACTTTCTGTTTGTATGTCACATTCTTTGTCAATATGCATCTTAAATTGCATATGAACCTTTTTTTTTGTTTTACAAGGAGATTAATACTTTGTAGTTAGAAAGTCATTCATTATATTCATGAATAAGCATTTAAATTTCCATTGATTACAAATCATTAAGCGCCACACACATGTCCCATTACAAAAACATAAACACAAGCTATACATGTTTCTTATTGTTTTATATCAATTTAGGAAATGCGCAGTAAGTGAAGATATACGTTCCTTGGTATATTCATATCTTTAAGAAATTTCCTCGTTTTGATCACAGACAAACCATCTCTAAAGTAGACACGTCATTTCGTTCTCATTATGAGCAACTGTTTACAACCCCGTTACATTATTAAAAGTCTAGATAGAAAAACTGCCTAGACGCATACTCTGTGGAGAAATGAAATAAAAGACATCATACAACCATAATTAAAGAATAGTTGACATTTCACTATGAATTGTCTATTATATGGAAAATGAAAAGCAAAGAATTATTGAAAAACTTTAAAATGGACGTAATTTTATTTAAATTCTGTACTTCATATGCTTATTTAAATACGTTTTCTATTAAACAGGAGTGAACGTTTCTACAGGAGCCTCAGAATAAATGTTACAAACATGATGCTATATAGAAGGTCGAAGATGATCGCTTACAACGAAGCTACATAATTACAACTTTGAATACCGCGCCCCTGATAGGTAGCAACTCATCCTGCACTTGTGTTAGGCAGATACATGTGCTGAAACACTCAAATATATTTTTTGTACTGCCAAATACCGGCACTTGTCAATCAGGGGCACGATGCTAATACAATTTTGTAACTTTATTACATGCAATTCCGCAGCACATGTTTGTTAGCAAAATGTTTTCAACGTTGTGGCTTTCTAAATGCCCTAGAAGTTTGAAACATTTATTCTGAGACAACTTACAAGCGTAAATTTTCAAATGGCTCTAACCGCACGGATTTGTATATTTATTTATTATTCAAATGTGTGACAGGAGAAGGGGGTCTGGAGCTTTAGAAAAGTGCGCAGTTGCACTTTTTACATTCAGTGTACCTTTCTTGAGCTATAAATAAATAACATAAATAAATTTAAAAAATTAAATACGTATTCGTAAATAACTAAAATAAATTCAATATAAAAGGTAAGTAAAAAAATAATATAAATTAAATACAAAAAATAAAGTAAATAAAACAAATAAGTGCGGGGTGAAGGGAGGGTGGCGGACCTCTTGCACCCGGCGCATCCACCCCTTGACGCGCTCCTCCAGCTGCGCCAGGCGCTCGGGCGAGCGCACCAGCTCGCGCGCGTCGTCGGGCCCGCGCACCGAGGCAGCCAGGCTGCGCCCGTCGTCGAACAGGTTGGGCAGCCCGCACACCTCCTCGCACACTGCGGCACGCGCGACGCAATCAGCGGCTCGCCTCCGCCCGGAGCCAGCGAGGCGCGCCTGCGGCGGATTCGGCCGCTGCCTGGAGGAGAACTGTGACAGCCCGCTGCTCCGATCGGGGATTTATCGCGGTTTCTCTGTGCAATACCAGGAGAATGCCAGGGCAGTACCATAACAAACGGGACACGGGTTGCGCGCGGTATTTCCTTCCTTTTCCGTGTCCATCTTCTCCTCTTACTTACATGCACTCACCACTCACCACCGCATACCACCACAAATTCCGGGAGACTGGTCCAGAGATTAGTCTGTTGTCCTGTGGTTGGTGCGGTGATCCGCTGGTGGGAGATACCTGGTTGGGGAAATCTCCGCTAGCCGACGGGTAGGTCGGCGCCGTATCTCCCGTCCAGCGGGGGAAGATCACCGCCACTTTGAGAGGGGGACATGTACTACACTTACGGAAATTATGACCTTAGTCCTTGACGCATCCGGAATCATCAATCAAAGGATATTGCCGGAGCAGTACTCTAAGAAACCAGTTATGGATGGTCAGTGATATTTCCTTCCCTTTCCTTTTCGTTTCGTCTCCCCTTACATTTAAATGCATTCAGTTTCATGCATACACTTACATGCAATTCACTACCAAACATGTTGGCATATACGAGTGGCAGTCGACGGGAGCTTAGAGTTGTCCAAGCTGAGTACAGAGTAGAGAGCGGATAGTACAGAGCGGGGATTAGAGAGCATAGAGTAGAGAGTGAAGACTAGAGAGCGGAGAGTAGAGAGCAGAGAGTAGACGCGGTGAGTAATGGACGGGCAGACGAGGGCAGAGACGTAGAGGCGAGAGGCAGAAATAGACTTGGGAGAGTAGAGAGACGAGAGCAAACACTAGAGAGCCGCGAATAGCGATAGAAGAGAGCTGCGCGAAGAGAGCAAAGAGCACAGAGGTAAGAGTAGAATGTTACCGCGCAGGGCGCTGCAGAAGGAGCGCAGGCCGGGCAGCAGCTGCGAGCGCACAGTGGCGGAGGCGGCGTCGTCCTCCTCGGCGTCGGGCGCCGGGTGCGCCAGCGCCTGCATGAACACGCGCTCCATCACGCGCTGCACCGCCGCCACCAGCCCCACGCGCTCCGCGTCCAGCACGCCGCACAGCAGGTCCTGCGACACAACGCGCGCTCTCGATAGTACTACACTACTGTCTCGTCAACACGAGCTTCGATTCATTCATTGATTCATTACAGAGTGCATGTGCATGTTTTATCTTGGAAGGTGGCAGTGATCTCCCGCTGGATAGTGGCAGCGGTCCTACCTGCTTTCACCTAGCGGGGTTTACCCCAACCAGGTATCTCCCTCCAAAGGAGCAACGCTCCAACCGAGATAAGATAGAAGCTCCCGATTGTCATCCCATGTGTGGTAGCAAGAATATTTTGCAGACTCAAGTATTGAGAGGGCAAAGATACGAGCAGCAAGGTTTGAGCTCACAGATCAGACAGGGATAAATACGTTTCGAAGAGAGAGTGGACAGTAGAGAGTGGAGTGTGCAGAGCGAACAGTGGAGGGCTTACAGTAGAAAGCGAGGAGTAGAGGGCACAGTATAATCTCGCTATAACGTACTTCCGGCTTTTAGTGCTTCCGGTCGCCTCAATTGCTAAGGTCATTCACTTGGGGGAGGTTGCTGGATGGTAATATCCAGCGCCAACCTATTCGTATATGGCGGATAGCGGGTTTTGCCCAAAGGTATCTCGTTCCAGCAAAGCAACGCCACAGCATGGACAAGCTCGTAGCTCCCGACTGTTCTCCTGTTATGTGTGGTAGTGAAGTGCATATGTATGTGAAATACGAACTTCCATAATCGGATGGTCTGCTTAACCCGAAAACGAAATCGATGATTATTTTCGAGAATGGTACAAATAAGAATGTTTATTACATTAAACACTACTACTGTTCTGCTGTATAGATCTTTTAAAAGTTCGAGAAAATACAAGGTTGAGAATAACATGTTATTAAATTCAGTATTACATTTGAAAAATTCATTCACATTTTACGGGGGGAAAACCATAGTACCTGTTCCTGGAAGCAAAATTGCGCCAACGCTTCAAAAACATGATTTTGACGAGATACTATCGCTTACTTTCAATTATTGCTTGCATATGTAATTGAAACAATAACTTAGTTTCGAGATATTGCTGTTTAACACGAAAATTTCGTTAATCCGAAAGGGGCCAATTCCAATTATATCGGATGAGCGGAGATTTACAATACCAAATATTTCACTACAGGTTGTTGGAGGGAAGAATTCTAGACTACTTGCTAGAATTGTATAAAAATGAGGGATTACACGTATGGGCCTGTACTATCTTGTGAAGTTAATCTATTATTAATACTTCTGACAAACGTGATGTCACCAAAAAACGCTTTTTTGTACAAAGAAAATAAATGAAATTGGTGCTAGGTTTTGATAATCATCATGAGTAGAGATGAAATAAATAATGATTCGTTACAGAAGTATCTAATTATACGATCATGAAAAATGTGCGTATTTTGTAAGCGAAATTATTGTTTTTCTCTATCTTTTTGCTTCGACCTATCGGTCTCGGAAAATCTCTCAAACGCGATCGCGCAAAACACACATTCACACTCATTACAAAAATAAGTATTTGTTCATTTCACAGTAACAATTAATCTAATTCTTCACTGAGTCTGAGAGAACCTTAATAATACACCTCTGAAACAAGATGTAGGAAGGCTTGAATCGCGAGGCTCAAACAGTTCACTGCCAAATAATCCACTTCTCTCCACATCCCCGCCCATCTGCCTGCCGCACATTCCGTGATTCACCTTTCGGAGGCGAGACACGTATGTTAGATATAGGATAGCGTGGGATGACATAATATTAAGGCCAGTTGTTTAGATGAGAGCTATATTGTCAGCATTGAGGATAATCGTAAAATTTCTTTCCCTTACAATCCACCACAAACACCCACACACCTGATCCATGCGCATTCGTTAGTACCTTTGGAGTAGATCACACACATTAATTTCAATTTCACACTGTTCTCCTAGCGTCTAGAACGGCTCATGGGCAACGTACTAGCTTCTCGCGGTGTGTTCCCAGCTTCGATTCCAGGTCGAGGCAAAAATAGAGTTGTATCTTTCCTTTAAAATCTACAGTTATGTGACGAAGAACAGCACAGGGAGGCGGCTCTATGGCGAAGGCAATACGTCATGTTAGCCACATGTCGCCCTTCCC